ATGTAGAATTTCACAGATTGAATAGACGTAAATTAACCACCATCCACACAACAATTCAGGCAGCGTGCCTTCAATTGGTCCAACCATCAAAGGATGATAGCTTGTAGTTTGCAAAAAATTAGGGGAAATACTCACATCTTATTAATTTTGAACTTTTATTTGGTGTTTAAGATGCTCTTATTAAGATGGGTAATGACATATTCATCATTGGATTAATAGATAGTAAAATAATAGTCTAGAGTAATTAAGCAAAACAGACACAAGTGTATAAACTCGGCCAAAAAAATTGATGTCCTTAAAAGAATTACTACATGAAAAGAAATTACTTGGCAAAAAAATAATTGGAAATGGTGCGTTAACCATCTCTTTACTATTAATTTCGTAAGAAAAGGAAAAGGTATAGGACTCAATTAATACAATCTTACAATTGATGTCCTTAGCGCCAAATAAGCAAAAATTGCCTTCTCTCTTAATTTGCCCAGTTAGCTTGTCCTTTCCCAACAATTTTCCGAAAATCAAATTATTGGGCTATTTTAACCGCCGATTCTGCATAAACCCCGCCTCAATTGTGAAAAGCCAGCTCTCTCCGACGGCGCCGTTTTAGCTGAGAATAAGGTCCCTTCTCTTCTCTCTGCATCTTCATTTTATCTTGGTTTGTATGTTTTGAGGTATGAGAGCTTGAAATTGTTTTGCTTATGCTTTTTAGCTTTATCTTCACCAGAAAAACTGTCTTTTTTTTTCTTTCTTTTTTAGCTTTTCAATTTTGGTTTTGTGTTTGTTTTTGTGAATTTTCTACAGCAAGAAGATTTTTTATTGGTATTGATAAAAGACTATAAAAAAAAAGAAAGAAAAAGAGAATCTTTACTGAGTTGGTTTCTAACTTAATTTTTTTGGGTAGTTAAGATTATTATGCTGGCACTTTTCTGTTAAAGGGCCATCACAAAATTAGATTTCGTCCGGAACTAGTGAAAAAGAAAGATGTTTTAGTATGTTGGTTTTGGTTATGTATAAAGGGCCTTCACAAAATTTAATTTTGTCAAGAATTAGTGAAAAAGAAAGATATCTGGAGTTGTTGGTAAAAGGTTATCACTGAATCAGGTTTTGTGAAAAAATGGCTGAGTTTCAGTTGCTTATTCTTTGTCCTCTATTGCAATGAAGCAGTCAACGAATGATAAAATGCTTCCGTCTTAGAGCGTGTACAGCTTATGTCAGCGTTTTTTGTTTTCTATTTGGCTATAGATAACCCGATGGAAGAAGTTATATTGGGAATGCCAGGACCTTGGGCCGATGATAATTATGAAGTGGCTGACCATTATACAACCAAAATTGGAGGACTTCCTGTAAGATAGTTTGTTTGATTTTGAGAATTAGACTTATTTTCAAGGAAGTTCTTGCTGTGTTTTTATTATTGTTTTTTGTCTGAACAGGACTGGCCAATTCCTGATATTGGTATTAAGCCTGAACTGCTAATATGTCCATCATGTAAAAGCAATCTCTGTCTTCTTGCACAGGTTTTTGAATAGTTTGCCCTTTTTTTGGTGGATAACAATCAGCTCAAAGTTTGAGTCAAAGTGCTTTCTTTTTTCTGGGTTTTGTGTTTCTTATCTTACTCAGGTTTATGCTCCGATTTCGAGCGAGAGTTTGACACTTGAAGAACGTGTTATTTACATTTTTGGTTGTGTAATGCTGCAATGTGGGAGCAATCCTTCAAGGTTTAATGGTTCTGGCTTACTAGATTCCTATTAAGATCTCGAAGTTGGATTGACCAGAGTTATTCTTGTTCTTGGTCTTCTTTGTTTTTACTTTTATGGTTCTTTTGTATGTAGTTGGAGAGCTCTTCGAGTACAGAAGTCAGTCAGTAGTGAAGATCCATTTGTACACAGTAATGATGTTGCCCCTTTTCCGTCGTCTTCTGTTTCAGCTGTTAAAAATGATTGGCAGCAAGACTTGTGGACATTCGAGTCTAGAGAGGATGATGATGGTGGAAACGGTGATGACTTAGATCTAGAGGACTTAAGTAGGGCATTTTCTGAAGCTGCAAGTTTGTCTTCCAATTCAAAGAAACAAAGTTGTGATCCTGAGGCTAGTCTGAAGCCTTCATCTACAGATGAGAAATCTAAAGCTAATGATAAACGATTTCCTGGTATAGCTTGTGGGTGTGTTTGGAAGAATATTTCGAATGCATTTTTTACAACATGCAGATTATTGTTTTGAAGTTTATCTCAGAATGTGTATGTGTGCATATCTGTAAGTTGAAACTCCTGCATTTCAAAAAAAAGGTACCTGTGCCAAGATAACCAGATTGAAGTGCAAATCTGATCCTTCTGAGCAGCAATCCCCCTGTTCAGTTAGTATCTATTCTTGAATGAAAGAGAATGGGGAGGTGGTGAGTTCTTGGGCCAGGATAGCATTTTCCATGAGTTGTTATGATTCCTGCTGTAATATCCTGCCGAAGTCCTAATCCAATCTAAAAGCATGTCGTCTCTAAGCTTTTCTACCACAAAAAAAGGAATCAATACTTGGCCATTTTTTATGAATTGTAAACCTCACAATCATCTGGACTATTAGCCTTTTAGTTAGCTCATTTGTTTATTTCAAAATTCAGTTTCAGTGTAATACTATAAGGCTGAATTGTTTATTTTGTAACAATGTGATTTGTGCTAAAATGATAGTCTCAATCTGCATAATCCATTCCTAGCTGTGAGTTTCTCTGCAGGATATTTTTCCATGTTTTGCTAGAAAGTCTTTTGAAAGATTTTAATTTTTTTAATGTTTTTTATTGCAGTTTTGCCTTGCTTCTACATATATGCACAGGAGGAGAAATTTACAAAGGAGGTCACTTCCTTGTGGTCAAAATATGGCTCACTGTCTGTGAATGGGAACGAAAGTGATCTTGATGATCATACACCGGAAGAGAGATGGGAAGAGGAGAAGTATGAATATGATAAAGCCTTGAATGCCGATAGGACTTACCTCAAGTTCAAGAAACGTATTGATGCATATCCAGAGCAATGCTTCAGGTGAAGTTGTCAGGGTTCTTGGCCTTAGAAGTAGAAGTGATGCTTTTCACCTTCCTGTGTACTGATAGTTGATTGGCAGGCTCTGAACCCAGATTATTGTTTCAGTACTTTTAGAAGCTCCTGTTTTGGCTGTGAAAGGCAACTTTTATTTTGGGAAAAAAAAGGGGGGGAGGGGTTTATGGGGCAGTGTACGGTCTGTCACTATTAAGAAGATGTTTGACTGGTAGCAGAACTTTTTGATCCTTAGAGACCAAGTGAGGAGATATTCTAGTAAGAGTTACAGATATATATCATGAGGGGAATGAGTTAAAGTCCATATTATTTCGTTGAAGTTCTGATTTGAGAGCTTTATTATCATGTCATGGATAAAGGTCAACAAAAACTTATCGACACTCAAGTTTTTGGACTTCTTCATGCAAAGTAGCTAGCAAAGTGTAGAGATTCTCTCATTTAATTTATTTTGTTTTTCAACTGTTATTATCTTCTTCAACTCATAGTAAGTGTGCTTTATATGGATTAACCACGTATCTTGTAGTAGCTAGTTTCATCATTCCTTTCTCTTAGGATACAACTAGAATGCTTGGTAGGACTTTTGGACTCTGCCCAATTCTGAAGTTCTGCAATGTCAATGCTTTCAGATATTCATATGGTGGGAGGCCACTAGTGGCCTTTATGGATAAGGAAGATGCTGGCACATGCTGCCTTTGTGGTGGGTCAAGGCAATACGAGATGCAGCTGATGCCGCCATTGTTATATTTTCTACAGAAAGCAACCAGTAAACAACCCAACATTTCTTTGGAGAGCTGGAACTGGATGACTCTGATCATCTATACCTGTTCTAAGGTGACTAACCGTACAAAATACTGTGCTGAAATTGGATGCAAATATTTTCCTCATATTGATATGGCTAATTATCTACCATGCCTGTGAACCACCAACAACATTGATTGTGAATTAGAGAAACAGGGTACCATTGCAACTTAAAAACCTGATGGCTCTTTGAAAGCCCGTCATAATTTTATTATCCGGAGTAAATGTTTATGTATAAGAAAGACATGTGACTTTCCAATGATCGTGTTTTTACTATAAAACTGCTCAAATTGTACAGAAGGTTTTGTCGGAGAGAATAATGAAAAGTAAGTCAATCTTCAATAACACTATTATCACATATAGTTTCGAAGCAACCATGAAGGTGGCCTAAACAGGCTGCTAAATGTTTGAAGTCATTCTTACCTCCATTTCATTGGATGATCCTCTTTAACCTCAGTAACCTTGTCACTGTTCCCCTAGGATTTGTAGGCTCTTAGCCATCCACTTCTTATAGCATAGTCCTCAACAACTCATCCCCAATTGCTCTTCGTTCGTACTCCTCATGGCTTGCAGCTATGGGCTAATTTGTATATATGTGGTTCCAAGTATGCTTTGTCTTGTTCATCTGCATATTCATCTAATATCATGTTCCTTGTTCCTTTTAGAGCTGTGCAGAGTCTATCCATCTGGATAAGCCCAACAATCACGGCTGGGTTGTAGCAGAGGAAGCTGTTGTTGTACAGTTGGAGTAACATTATACCTCAATGTTGTACTTATGGGCGTAGTAGATGGCATCAGAAAACATGCATTTTGTTTTAGTTCCCCATTTTTGAGCGATTGACTTCATCATTTTGTGTTTTTTTCATTTAGATGATGAGCATAGAATCGTTAGTTTTCTTTTGGTCGTGTTCTTGCTTTCTTTCTTTTACAAGTAGCTATAGAATGGGGGACAGAATGAGGTAAAGTTTTTGCTGCTCGGAGGAGCATAGCAGCAAAAGGAATTTGGTCAGCAATTGGAGCCTCCACGCTTCAGTCCCCAAATAATTCAGGGGTTGTTTAATGCGGAGATTGTACCATATGCTTGAGCTTTTGAACTGTCAAAACAAGTTTCGGTACTTTACTTAATTTGATTGATGTATACAAATTGGTATCATGGCAGATTCCTGCAGCTAGCCAAATTGCAAAGGTTTGAAGTAGTTAAACATTAGACTACATTTTCTTCTTCAAATGAACAAGAAAATTGTTCAAAATAAGATGAAAACATAATCGATTTGAAAATCCCAACAACTACATCCCAATTTAAGCAGCCAAGCAAAAAATCTGTCTCCACTTTAAGATCAATGTAGAATTTACATGAGCACGATATGCCACTGGCATTTACCACCGACCTTTCTGTCCTAGATAGATGTTGCTGCTCAAACTTCTTCTACTCAAATTTCTTGACCAGAGATAAGTCATTCAGCATCTTCTCAATAGCATCGTCATCAAGGGCACGGCCTCTATTCTGTAAGAAGAAACATGAAACATTCATTATCAAGATGAAGATTAAAGGCACTAGCAGAAAACTCCAAAGTATTACAGACTGAAAGAGGCAACAGCTAGATGGCTAAAGAACAAACATCTGCAACAGTAACATCCCTTTTGTGGCATAGTTAATGTTGGGGATATAACAAAAAGTTCCATTGGTGGCTTATCCACTATGAGACGGTTGAAGAAAAACTTAGGAATGTCGAATATCAGCATGACCATCCACTTTTACCAAACTAGCAATACCATCATGAATCAAATGCTGGAGCATCAAAGGCACAAAACATTCTTTTATCAAAGCCTTTGACCACAAGAATCAAACTGATGAAAGTGTTGAGTTGTTATTGGCTTCTCCAACTTATTTATACACACTTGTTGGTTGTATTTTCCATAAAAATAAAACTACACTTGACACGGTTAGTGAACCACACTGGTACCTTGATTGATGGGACCATAGCAATAGCTTCCTCAACAGTCTCTGGGCAAAGATTACCAAGTACACAAAGCTGCAGAAGACAAGGAATTAGTGGCACTTTTAAGGTTCCTTTCAACAAATGAAGAGAGACATGTTGCATTTGTTGGATCCTCACCTCAAATTCAGCAAGCTGGTATCTGCTAAGAATCCTGATATTTGACTAAGGAAGATGACAGTCAAAAGGGCTTTCTTTTGTTTTTTTGTTTTGTCCTATTGAAAATATAACTAGTTGTCTCCTATTAGACCAATAAGGAGGCATGATCCTATTTCTTTCACAGTGGCTAAAACTAGCAAAGGATATGGAAAAAGATGTGATAAGCACAATCCAGATAAACCATTGACATGAAATCAGAAGAGAAGTCATCAGTTGTTCTATTTAATGGAAATATCTGAAAAGCCACAGCAACTACAAAGATCATATATTGGTTACTAACAAATAATAAGAACAATAGTTGAGTGACAACCCACAAGGCTTTATGCCCAGCACTGACTCAATGAAGAGGATAATCACATTGTCAATGTAAGAGTAAACTATTGCTAATTCCACACTAACATAACAAATTCTGTAACAAACGTGATGATGTGAAAGATTATCTATGAGCCTATACTTAAATCTAGACGTTTATAAACTGTCAACATGCTTATTCATTTTGTTGAAGCAATGAAGCACCAATTTATGTCGGTTAAGTTTATAAAGGAAGATGTGAACAATTATCAAGGCTAGGAACCACATACTAGATATTGCCAGGTATCTCTTCTTAAGCTTAGTAATTCAAGCTTTTCTTTCTTTGTTTATTATTGACTATCACAAAATGACTCATCCGAACTCCTACTGACAGAAATCAGGATTTAATCATTATACCACACTATATGTCCTCATTATCTGTCCAACTAATCACAAGAAATATAACTTTATATGCATGAAATACAGAGTCCAGGAAACAAAAGAAAGAGCTTTGTTGTCCAAGGATACTCTCGGACTTGTCTGACAGAATCAGGATTCTTGTAGCGGCTGAAACGCTTCACATACTGCAGAGACTTCTCAAATACTCTGAAACAAGTAAAAACCATAGTACATTAAGACATTTTTCTTTAAAAAGTTACAAGTTGAAATGCAAGATGCACTCAATCTCATGTTCATCAAAAGACATGGCAGAGAGATGATTTTACCAGCCTACAGGTAAAATTAGTATAAACTACATGCGGAGGTCTGCATCTTAAACTTCAGAAATTTTTCCTTGATATCTTTTTAAAGACATTGATCGAATAATCGCAAAAGGCGATTCAAATTATAAGAGAAAACAATCTAAGTTGTTCATAGAGAAAAATATCAACTTTTATCTCCCATCCATATCCAGAAGTTGGATAAAAAGAAGTAGACAGCCAGATGAAATACTTACTGAGACATTTGATTCATTGGATCCTCCGACATCTGCTGAAGCTGCTCATACTTATGTTCAAGAATTAAGGAAACTTCACAATTCATCAAACACTTGGCCTTCAAAAATTCTGCAAAACCAGCAAGGAAGAAGAATCATTTAGTAAATGAATGCTTTTGTATACCAAGAAATATGAAATGAAAACATTTGATCAGAGGATTAATAGAATTAATTTTTTTAAGCTGTATGAACAAACAAAGTAAACACCTAGCTCATCTTGAAAACTATGATGAACAAGATAATCCAAAATAATTAATTTGCCCATTTGGGGAGTCTGCAACAGTTTACTAAATCAATAAAATGTGCAGTAGAATGAAATTAAACAGTCTTGTGTTACAGCGAGAAGTGTTAGCCTTTTAGTTATCCCTCCGAAAGCAGATAATGCATAAAATCCAGTTACTGCTTTTGTTTTTAATGAGAAGGCGATAATGGTCATGCATTCAGTAACTAACTTAGGTAGAAGCTTGAGCATTACAACCTGCAGACATATTCTGGTGTGGCGAACAGATGCACCAAAGTATTACAGCAGTCATTCAAAACCAAAATCACAATTTAAAAGTTCAACCATGAAAACTCATAATTTCAAAAATCACCAGTATCATAGCAATTTGCTTTGACGCTCAGCGTATTATGCAGGAAAGCACCAAGCGAAGTGCCAAACGCTGTGTCCTTCCTGACGACATTGAAACTTCCATTAAAGCAACAGTGTTTCGCTTTTCCTAAAGTTTTTGCATACAACATCTTAAAGGCTTCTGAGACTACCAACACATCATTTTCTTGAGAAACTGAAACTCAAATCTCTATATCAAGACAAAAAAGGATCAGAAAATAGTTTCTCAAAAAATGTCAGCCCAAAACTTTGCAACTCCAGAGACGTGCACTGCTTAAGGCCATCTTTCTGAAAGTCCACCAAAAGTCAGATAAAAAAAACCTCATATCATCAAACATCAAGATCGGGTTTTTGACATTTCACTACGTCTTGATGAATTTGAAATATGAAAAGCTCCATCCTCTTTGGAAACTTAATACTTATAATGGCACCCCACATAATGAACTATTTGATGTATCCTTCCCTGTCCAGTATCAGCAGATTAAAACAGCCGAAGAGACCCGCATGTAGTTCATTTTACTCCTATTCAAAACACCGTTAACATTAAATAAGAATTATCACAAGCATCACCCTCTTTTAAAACTTCAATTGGCACACTGCCACAAGGGGAAACAAGCATGAAGAACTTCTGTCATTCAAGCACTCCAAATACCATTGTGCAACCTAATTTCCTTCCATAGCCTCTCTTCTGAAAACTTTGGAATTGTCAGTAAACTACAAAAAACAGTGGCAAAAAGTTCAGGATCTCCCTTTTGCTCCAGCGTTTCAATATCGCTGGTCTCCCGTAAGTTACTCTACTAAGTCAAATCTATTACAGCTTCTCTACATGCAACCAAATCTTCTCTCTACCTCATTAAGTATACTTGTTTATTAAACTCCTGACATCAAAGGTTTCTCAAGCATCTTATAAACAATTCTATGTATTATGTGCATCTCACTAGCTCTGACCAACATGTCCTCTTACATTTGCTAACTCTATTATTGACTCACTTATATAAAAGCTGGTGATTCTTGAAGCAACAACATCAGTCGTGCAAAATAACACAAACAGCATAAATAAAACATTCCAATGCAGCTGAAAGAATGACTGACCACATCAGGTTCAATTCAGAAGAAAATGATGCAAGTCAAACTCGATAAAAGATCAACCACCCTATTTTGTCATTCGAACAATTTGAACGGCTTATCCCCTGATATAAAGGAACCATAATTTGTGCAAGGAAATTTCTTCTTAAAACTTCGATAAATTCATAACACCAATAGCTAAGCAAGATATCATCTTTTACACATTAGAACAACAACAACAAATCATAAAATCGTATTAGGAAGTGTGATTACCATCACCAATCTTGAGCTCAGCGGCGTTCTCTTCCTCTTCTCCCGACATATTTAGCCCAAGTTAAACTAACCTATATCAAAACAAAACTTCACCGTTAGCTAAAAATATCTCTAAAAATTGCAAGAAAGTAATAAACAACAGTTCATTAGTATTTGCAGATAAAAAAAAATCGAAAACCTGAGCAAAAAAAAGATTCTTTAATACATATATATATCGACAAGAACTAATGGACACACATAAAATCCATTATCATTGTACTGAAACTACAAATTTAGCACTAATATCTGACTAGATGAAAAGGGTTTTGAGGGAAACGAAAAGGGGTGATTCTGGGACAGTTTCTTGGAGCTGCCGTGACCTTAATTTGTCGGGTATTGTGGGAGAGGGAACCTTGGAGTAAAGGGTTTTGATGCAGAACTTTGATGGGGAGAATCAGCTCGTCTTGGAGAAGAAGGGGAATAAAGGGTGGGTGTAATTCGGTGATTTAGCCAACTTCCGTTGGCCCATAAATTTAAAAATATTCTAAACTTAGCCTCAGGATTCATAAGATTGTCCCAGACCACCCCTTCAATTTTTTTTTGATAGTTAACCCTTCAAAAAAAAAAAATTCATAAAAAATGAACCAATTTAAGAGCTTGATGGACAAATAGGCCAAATCAATACATTCGGTATAGCTATTACGATTCGAGTAAATCTTATATACGCTTTCAGTGCATATATTATTATATACTGTTACCGTTAGATTCACGATGCATGTATAGAAGTTGGATTTCAAATTCAAATTTTATATTTTGCATAATTATTATTCGTCCAAAATTAATATTGTGTACACTATCAATATATCCGTAAGGTTTAATATATTAACTAAACAATTAAATTGATTATCTTCTTAGGTCAAGTTTATCATGTGCAAGAAAATAGACATTCAATTCAAAACCAATTAACAACTAATAATGAATAAAAAATATTCAAAATTTTTATTAACTTGTTAAGAAGGCCATTTGAAACTGATATAGACTTTTTGTCATTCAAAAGGAATAATAACACAACATTCTTTGTTAAATACATGTAACGAAAACAACCCATCTTCTGGCGTACCTTAATTCCGACTTGGGCTTTTAATGGGTTTCAGTCAACCCGAGTTCACCCCAATCGTGTTGAAACAAATTGGGCTGAATCTTGTAATTATTGGGTTGGGTTGTGTTTGAACTCAAAATAAAGCCCAATTAAATTATGGGTCGAGTTTGGATTTAATAGACTTAACTCAGCCTAACCGATTAAGTAGATAAGTACACATTTTTATTGACAATAATTTTTTTGGATTTTTTTTTTCGAAAAGGGGAAAGGATATTAGAATTCAGAATTGAAAGTTTTGAATTCTCAACCTTAGTCAGTAAAACTAGAGCCTCAATTGATGTATATTATTTAATAATTATATGTACTGTAACATACATAATTTATAATTTATCTATAATGATAAAATAAAATAAATATTATATGCATATTATGGATTAATTATGAGTTTGAACCAAATCTAAATTAGACCTAAAGTTCTAATATGTTTATGAGTCAGAGTTTGGACTTCTCAATGCCTTGCTCACAAGATTCCATTGACACCACTAATTGCTGCTTTGGTAGATTATAAATTTATAACAAAGCAACATACTCTTCTTATATATGTACAACGATGTAGGAGGGAATGCTACCTTAACTAGGTGAGGCAAGGCAGAAAGCAAAACCAAGAGAAAGAAATTCACGATCATCTCTCTTAGCAAGTTTCAGAGAAATCTTACAGAACATATTTAAGGAAAGAAGACAACTAAAAATCCTAAAACTAACAATTAAGTTTCGCTCAAATATGGCTCCGTTCCTTTCTTTTTTACTTTCCTTCAATCAAAGTATGCTTAAAGTACCAAAAAAGTGAGATAAAAGAAAGTGAGACCAACCACTGCCCCTGTGACTGCAACGGATCTTATGTCTCACTTCCTATACCACTCTCTGTCCCATTTTTTTTTATTATATTACTATTTCTCCTTCACAAACATCATGTTTTATTTCTTTTTTATTTTCTTAAAATCTAATAACTATTAACTGAGCAATACACAAAATTTAGCAAACTCAAAAAATCAAAATGCATAAAAAATGAGTTTTCTAATGAATTTTTGACTGTATTTTTTAATTTTTTTATTATACATTGCTTTTTTAAGGTTGTTTTATTTATTTATTTTTACTCAGTTAATAGTTATTGGATCCTAAGGTAACAAAAAAAAAACTAAAATATGATATTTATGAAGGAGAGATAGTAATCTAATAAAAAGTGTGACAGAAATTGATACAGGAAGTGGGACAGAAGATCCGTTGTACCCTGTGCAAGTTTTGTTGACGATAAGAAATCTGGGAGAAAGTGGGAAGTTAGTGATGCACGTTAAGTTGTACGTATAAATCATCGAAACATGATCCCATTTTTAGTTAAACTGATCTAGATTTCATGTAGAGCAAGTCTAAGAGATTCACTCAAACTGAGCTGTGTGTCCGACCTCTAATGATGATCCATACAAATATTACAAAATCTTTGTAAACACATCCCATCTTTAGTACCTCTGACCTCATTCACATAAATAGACATGTGAACAAAATGGCAACAGATTCTCAGTTTCACTTCTTCTACCATTTTCTATTCCAATATCTATTAGATCGTTATATATTCTTCATGAACATCCTATTTTAATTCTTTTTCTTGTCTCTTTAACTTCTAAAGCTACTAACACAATAAAAGATCATAGACTAAAAAACAAAATTCAACTAAAAAAATGTGTTTTTAATGAATATTCTTTTTTTTGTTGTACATTATTATCAAGTCTATTTTTTCTTTTGTATTCTACCCTATAAGTAATAGTTGAAACTTAAAGGGATAAGAAAAAGAATTAAAATGAGACGTTCATGAAAAATATATGGCAATTTGATTAAATAGATGTTGGAATAGGAAATAGTATAGGAAGCAGGATAGAAGATTCTCTACAAAATAGAACGTTGTGCCAAATAAAATACTATCAAAATTTAATAAAAGAAGGCAAACAAACCTATATAAGGTTTTAATAAAAGCGGGGCAAAAAGGGTATGTCACACTATGCTCTTTGGTAGCATCACACTCTTAGTTTGCCCTTGAAGGGTTCGTGGTTTTTTTCTTAATCACTAGCTTCATGTAAGGTAAAAATGCAGCTTAAATCAGATATGTTGTTATTTTTTGATATCCTTCTTCCCTCATCCATCATCTTCTTCTTACACTCATCAGTTGGCTGTACCCTTCTCTCACTTTTATTCTGATTTTCCGACATCCTCTTATTCCTGCTTTTCTTCTCTTAGCGGATCCTAGTTTATGTAAATAAATTTCATGAATCAAATGATGATAGAAAATGGTTAATTTTGTCAAAGCACTTAGGATTAAACTGGAAATAGTCTGCCATTGACCAATTAATGGCAAAGAAAAAACAACGCTTATAGTTTCATGTATCCAAAATGACTTGAGTTTATTCAATATTTATTAGGTCAATGTCAGCCATATCAACCTCAAGAACAGGCTATGTCGTAGGTAGGGGTGAAAAATGATTGCAGAAGAATGTCCCATGGGGGTGCTAGGGAGAGGGGGTGGTGGTATCAGGTACGAGGAAGGGAATCAAGAAGGACGATGGTAGTTAAGGATGTTCTGCAGTTCTTCAATAATCTCATCATTTAGTTCCCTTATGTAAGAGCACAGCATACTCAAGTTACAAGAACTGAAAACATATGACCTAAATATGTTTCTGACTCTACTTGATAAGTAGTTATCAGAAAAACGATTGGACATTCACATAATTGTCATTTTATCTTTTTACACACACACACACACACGCGTACATAAGTTAAAAAAAAATTTGGCAAAGAAAGGTCATGATTATGCAATAAACGACAATAAAAGAGAAAAAAGGGATTAGCCCCTCGGGGTCAGCTCAGCCGGTGGGGTATTTCTCGTGGGGCACGGTTCGAGTCTGGCTTCACATATCGCCTGGGTGCTCTTGGAGGGCGAAGTACTCCAGGTTCAGGAAGATTAGTCTGACAAAACTGAGATACTTCCTGGATTGATAAAAAAAAAAAAAAAAAGAGAAAAAAGGGATCAAGTGGTCAGGTATTGTAAATTAAATTTGAGCTTTTGTATCTTATTTATAGCTACAATCAAATGAATTAATAACCTTTTTAGTTTTCCACAGTAGTAATTTTTATTTTTACCAATACCTTAGATTGATGGGATCCTCAGCCATCCTTTTGACGTGACATGTTCTCAAATCTCAAAACCTGCCATGTGATGGGCTATTATATCTGTGGCTCCATACTACACGCGTGTGTTGGGTTGGAGACAGGGACGGTTATTAGATAAATCGTCCTGAACAGTATAATATTTATTAAATATTTTATAATTTTAGATTAATTATTTGTATATTTTTATGATAGAAGCGTGATATTTTATTATTGTTTATATGAATTATATATATAATAATTATATTTTTATTGTGAAATTTTACAAGTGATTCGAATTATATTCTAATCAAATTAAAAAATTATTACATCATTCAGTGCGGTTGTTGTCCTCCGTGCTCCTGATCCCAGGGGACCATGCCAGCAAACTCCCAGCTCAGACTCGTTCAAACGGCAGATTCCGATGAGAAAGAGACAAATTATTGCAATTACTGCACATTACCGATCAATTCCAGAGCTGGTCTTTTCCAGCACAAGTTTAATGCGATCAAGTGATCTTGGCCCAAGAAAATTACCGTTTCCAAAAAAAAAAAAAAAGATCTTGGCCCAAGATGTTCATGCTTTTAATCTGACTTGCCCTTATCTAACACACTATTTGTAGCTTTTTCCAAATCAATAAGGGTCATAAAAAAGCCAATAAATGGAAAAAATCTAAAACTAAAGAGAGATTTTAATTGGAATAAGGGAAAAACAATGGTTTTTATTCGAACAAACAGAAGAAGGCTTTTGTAGTTAAGCTTTTGTGGTAGATATAGAATATTTATTACCTTATTCATAAAGAACAAGGAAATAGGAGCTGAGTTTATGGCTTTTCATGCTCGAAGATGAATCAACAATTTTAGAGATTATTTTCAAGTGTCCTCAACAAACAGTCTATTACTCATCCATCCACATTGATGGATGCAATTTTTTTTTTTGAGGAAGATCAATTTAGTTGATTTTAGAAATTCAGTTACAATTCCAAAATTTTTTAATTAATAGTTTAAGGGTCTGTCTAACGTGTACCAATTGGGCACTTTTTAAGATGTAACTCAGGTGTTAATTTTTTTGAACAGTAAACTTAATTAAGAAAAGTGTATAAATATAAGGACAGATAATAATTGTTACTTTGTTAGTGTGTGTATTCACATAGTAGATAGGTATGCTTAAAGTGTATTAACGAGTGTTTATTGGACGCCGTTAAAAAAATTCTTAGTTTAATTTTGGTTGGCTCACCAAATGTCCAAGAGTCGGTAATGGAACTAGGCACATAATGAAAGTCGAAGCTAATCCATGTTGGCCC